CATCCTTTTAGTCCAATAACTCACCTTTCAGCACCACCCATTGCGTTCTTCCCTTTGGCTAGTTAGTTACCCACCTTACAATTATTGAACTAATTCCCATATTTTCTAATTTAACTAATGATTTCCCATATAGTGCTGTGTCAAATGCTTTCGTGTACTCCAGGTATATTAGATCTACTGAATTTCCCTTATTTAAAAAATCCGTTATCTTCGCAAAAAAGAAAATCAGGTTAGTCTGGTACAATCTACCTTTGGTAAACCCATGTTGCATTACATCCCATTTTCTGTTTACCTCCATGGATGTAGTTATTCTTTCCTGCAAGATTTGTTCTAAAGGTTTGCAAGCTATTGAAGTGAGACTATTAGACATTCTATTTGTCTAATCGCCCTGCACTTTTATCCTTTCTCTGTTAGTAACTTCTCCAAAGCATTTGTATCTCAGTAAAACTTCAGTATCCTTCCCAGCATCTTACAGGAGCTTTCATGACCTCCGTCAGGTGGCTCTCTAGGCCACTAAAGGACACCAGAGCATGGCAAAGGTCTTGCTTGCTTTTATTGTTAACCCTTTGTGTGGTTTGAATAAGAACTAATGGAAATCTCTTCTCAAGAAATGTCTGTTGCAAAGTCACAGCCTGGATTCAGAGCAACATTACCCACCTTCTTATATTTGTACATATAAGCGTGTATTGCCAGCCTGCGTGCTCATTAGATGTCTTGCAGTACTGCAACTGTTTTTACAACACAATGTCACGCAACAACTGTCAATTGCTTCCAGCAGAATTTGCTTAGTATTCATTCTTCTATCACTATCATAATGCTAAAAATCCACAGAGTTCTCACTATGAATCTCTGGATGATGCCCAGAGGTAGTGCAAGCACCACTGAAAGTGATTCCAGTGTCCCTGGAATGGCCATAAATATCAGCCGATATAGATTTGGACCAGTGTTCCCAGGACATGTGAAGAGATCAGCTCATAATTGCACACAGTAAGTAGATTGTAGTAACACTTGCATGTCATAATAGATATAAATAGTGTATACATTTTTATAGTTACTGTGGTTGTTGTGGTAAAGAAGCCTAATACATCTGTCTTGCTGATGCAGATGAAATTATAAGTCACAAACAAAGAACTGCCTCCCCTAAAGTCTTTGAGTGTTCGAGAAAAGTTTGGCATTGCCGTAAGCAAGTGCACAGAGAACAAAGTGAGAAAGGAGGACAGTGTTATGGAAACACTCAGTAAATCTTATTGTGTGCCTGTGTGTGTACTACATTTAGAAGTTATATATGTTTACAATGTTCAGTCATTCGTCTGTCACTTTATTCTCTAGTCACTGTCTGCACACTCGAGGTGATTAAGAAGAAGCACAAAAACCAGGTCAAAAGATGGATCAATGTCAGGGAGGCTTCTGATGATGGAGCAATGCACCCTGGAGTTTGTGACCCTGAACTGTACCCAAAGCACCTGCTGAAGCTTTGTGTCTGGGGAGCAATTAGCAGACAAGGTGTTGGCCTTCATATTGGAAGGCACTTTTTTCACAATCATTCCAATCACTATGCAAGTGAATGAAAATCTTTTGTAAAATTCATAATGATATGGTACGCTGCACTATACACTGGGTTCACAGGGATAATGGAATGAAAATTATTTGAGCAGAAAATTATCAGGGATACAATTGTGATTATGTATGGGTATTAGTCTTGCACATATTTTTTTCCAAGGAAGGTACGATCAAAAGATTGTTTACTGTAATGCAGTGATTTTATACTTTGTCCATGCTTTATGGTCACTCTGTTTTCTGTTCCTGTAGTGACCCAAGGCCACGTAACTGCTTCTGCCTGTATTGAGGCTCAGGAGATAAACTCTGTTCAGATTTTTCCTGAGTGAGTAGTGCATATGCTGCAAGATACTGTGCATGAGTTCCATAAAATAAAATTTTACTATAGCACACATCCTTTACTGGTAGTGTCCTGCATACTAATTCTAATCTGTTGGCGTTTTTCAGATCACCAGATATGAAACTAATCACATTAATGTGCCACCAGTTGAAAAATTATATTGGGGCATTTGCCAGACTGATCAAAAAGGAGCAGCTTGTCACAGCATCATTTTTGGAAGGAGGTGGTGTTGGCAGTCTGACAGTGTAACAGACGTATGAACCACCTTTGCAAAGTCTTGCCACAGGTTATTGAATGAAAGGGATCTTCTAGCAGGACACAGCTCCAGTTGGACAACTTACTGTACTTCTAAAGAGCACTTTTTGTTTTATATCACTGCATTGTATATGATGATATCTAATTATATTTCTTAACTGTTTAGTTTCTTTTCTGTGACTAAACTGCCCTGTGTATATTTTCTCTTGTCACATGCACCACTGCAGTGGTGTGCCAGTAGCATCCCACGAACACTACCATGACAGCAGTGGGGTTGGATGGGACAGCAGGGTGATCAGACAGCAGATTTTATATGTGACGTGTCCGGAGGTAGCTCTCTTACATTTGGCTGCAGGGTCAGTACTTGGATCCTGAAACCCACATGGAGTCTTCAAGCCACAATTTTCCTTCCTGATTCACACAAGCACACAGTTTCTGAAACAGCTGTCTCATAGGGCTCCATCACACCCCAAGAACACCACCATGAAACGGGAAAGTGACATGCTAAGAGAAAGCAAGTAATGAGGGTATCCTGACAGTTGGCTTTTAGCTTTTCTCATAGGTGCTCAAATCCAGCCATTGCCACTTGGATTCTGGTAGATGGGAACAGTAAAATTGTATTCCAAATGAAATAATAGAGTAATAATTACTCTATCAATGGCTTGCAAGTGCAGAGTAATGATCAAATGAAATGGTCACAGTATACTGCTCAGAGACTAGGAGAGGACCACATGGCAGCATTAATATAGGTTCATATCTTGCTAGAAGCAAATGACGTAATTTTGCAATTAATAAACTCTAGTGACATTGAGTGCAGACATACCCCTTGGTCCAGCATAATTAACATGAATGTAAGTCCTTTAAAATATTGTCAGTTGTTTAAATAGCAGAACACCACACATCAGCTTTACACATGACCTCATGAAGCAGCTCTATTCCCAGAGAAAGGACTCTCAGTTAAAGTCATGCCAAGGAGCCATGAGCAGGGCATCTCTTAGCGGTGCCTACTGTCCCATTGGCATTCAAATGAATGTTAACCTTGACAGCAACTTTACCAAGTCTTTTCGGTTCTCTGTGCTTTGGGCAAGATCTCCAGCATCATCCCTTGGTCCCTAAAATGAGGACAATGCGAAAGTATATTAGGTTTTGTACAATAGTGCACCAAAAACGTTGGTGTGTTTGCTACAGTGTGCTACGCTGTAAAGGGAACTACAGGATTTTCTACTAAGGGGCTGTAATATCTGTGTCTGTGCTGACTGCTGACACTTAACACTGCATCAAGTTCCTATAATATAACAGGGAGACGTACAATAATGAATAAAACCAGTATTGGGCTATATATCTATATCTATATCTATATATATATATCTCAACACTTACTGATATAGGAAATTGCCTCATCACATAAAGGTCTCGTGGACCATTCATTGCTGTAAATCCAGGCTCCACAGGCAGAAAAATGTTTTTAAAGAACCTGTGGCTAATTTAGTAATTCAGTAAAAAATTTTGTGACTAAAAGTGGATCCTTTTGAGAGATTTCAGATCCTTCTGAGAGATTCCATTTTACAAGATTGCTCCAGCAGCCTGAGTGTGAAGAGATGAGAAAACTTGGCTGCTCTCTGCCAGACACAACTGGCCTCAATGACCAAATGAAGTGCTCTGCATAGGACAGCTATAATAATTTTCCATGGATGGTGCCTGTAGCAGGCAGAGGGAGTGGGATTGCCACCTACTGTTCATGGGTGGATGGGTGGGGAGAACTGACTGAAAAAAGTTATATCCGGGGACTAGATGACCTCTCGAGGTCCCTTTCAGCCCTTCTTTTCTATGATCCTATGACCAAAGAACTCCATGTGAGTGAAAAGTGCAATTTTTGCATGTGTCAATTTGCTAGTCAACAAACATAATAGTACACCCCTACATTGGACTATTGAGCCTCAATTTTCCATGCATAAACAGCAATGTGTTTGTAAATTCAGTACTGTGCTTGGATGTCTGCCCAAGTATGCATGTCCAGGTGGCAGTAGGCATAACTTTAGAGTCTGTTTTTGAGAACTTGGCCCGTTATATCTTGATTGGTGTGGTGTTAGAATCCTGCATGGACTACATAACTATTTCACTGTGCACTGTGTGTTCACTTTACTGGTGAGCGTAATAAGAACTCATGGAAATTCAGTAGTACTAATTTTAAAAAGCAGAAGAATTTTACTCTGTATTATGCCTTTTTACTCATTTTTATATACTTAGGATGTTAGCTGGAGCGTATTATAGTATATGAAAAAGACAGTTGAAAACAAAGCTACTGCCTTTAAAGTTCCTGTTTGCAGTGTTTTTTTAGCCCTGCTGGTCCCAGGTTATTAGAGAGGCAAGGTGGGTGAGGTAATATCTTTTATTGAACCAACTTCTGTCCATGAGAGAAACAAGCTTTCGAGCTACACAGACCTGAAGAAGAGCTACGTGTAGCTCAAAAGCTTGTCTCTTTCACCGACAGAAGTTTGTCCAATAACAGATATCTCACCCACCCTGTCTCTTTAAAGATCCTATCAGTTTGGTGGGTTTAGCTAGACCATTGCTATGCTGAGTCAGGTGTGGATTGGGAAGACTTTAACGTTAAGCTACTTGCCCCCATGGAATTTATTACTGTAATAAAATTTAACATTTGTGTTGACAGTCTATACTGTCATTCAGAAGTTTTGTCTGTCTTGGTTGTCACTTTTTACGATTATTATCTCAGAATTCTGAGTATGTTGCCTATTAACCACCATTTTTAGGGTTTCCTGATTGCAGTCTTAGTGTTTGTGCATTTGATTACATTAAAACTGATCAAATTTTTTCTTTTATTTTTCAGATGGTTTATCCTTGGAGCAGCAAAATCTTTCCTTAGTCTCAGTGGGATCTGAACTACATCAAAGTACAGTGAGCAGCATGACACACAAGGCCTTAACTCAAAGCACAGTAGAACCCCAGGAAAATAATTTTCTTCATGTGGTTTTGTCATCACTTACCACTCCCTTTGATATGACTTTATTTGACCAAGATAGAATGAAGAGAAGTGAAGAAGGAAGAACTATGCCAGTAGGAGATGCCACAGTAACTAGCAATGAAGCATTTTTAAGTGACCATGGATTGATGAGCTCCTTTCTGAATGAACAGTGGACTCCTTCACTAAAGTCTATTACAGTGGAGTATAGTTCAGTAGAGCCACCAAGAGAAACCTTAGAAACTGTGTTGCTAACACCTTCATTATCTGTCCTTTTGTTGCCATATGATGAAATGAAAGCACAACAAATGACAACATCACGTGCTGCCTCTGGCCACAGTCGTGCTTTCACACAATTGAAGCCTTTTGCTCCAGATGGTATAATTCCGACTACAAGCAGAGACTTGCTATTGGACCCTGCAAATACAGATATTTATTTAAGTTCCACTACATCAGAGGTGGTGGTTGGACTGGTGGAAAATGTAGATGGAAGCTATGCATCTAGTTCAGACTCCTCACTGTTTTTGCCTTTTGATACTACTTCAAAAGGATCCTCTGTTCTTATGAGACAACTGAATGAGGATAGCCAAATTACACCAGATGCTTTGGCAAAAAGTACTGATCAATACACTGAAGCTTACCCTGATGTGAATAGCGATGCAACAGAAACTTTGGATCTAAGGACCTATTCTGTTGCAAACATTTCTACGGCAGCACCTGTTTTGGTAACTGGCATGGAGCCTGCTTTGTTTTCAGTTAGTCTTCCATATGTGTCTTTCCCAGTTCACTTAGCTGCTGGATCCACTGACTCTAATACTTTTGTTACTGATGACTTGTTTACACATGTATTTTCCCATAAATCCTCCAGTACAACACCAAATTTGCCTGGCAATTTAGAAATACCAAGTCAAGTTGAGCTCTTCAGTGAGTTCATAAGCCCAGTGCCTTTCACTAGACCATATGCTTCATGTTCGAACTGTGGCTTTGCCTCAGTTCCACCGGAACAAGGCTTTTCAGCAGGACACACAGAACATGATGTGGGTTCGGGTGATTATATTGAAACATTGTCATTCACAGCCTCTGAGGAAAAAGGCATTACTCCACGTACAACTGTAGTTACTGACTTGTATGAACTGGAGGAGTCAACTCCTGAAATCTTTGATACTACTTTTCCATCAAGACCTATTGTTTCATTTTCTTCAAGACTTATAGAAGTCTCTGAGTCAAACTTGTCTTTTTCAAACAGTGTGGACGTTGGTCTTAACATAACGAGTACAACAATATTTCCTTCCTACAGACAGCCCTCTGAGGGAATATCATTGGATATCACTTCTGTTCAATTCTCCTTCCCTATTACTGAAACTGTTACTTTAACATCTGGTGTTAAAGCAAAACCTTCTATTATCACCAGCGTTCTCCTTGAATCCATGTTTACCACAAGTGAGAATGTACCATCAGTTACAATCAAACATACAGGCCTGCTGGAATCACCTGAATTTATGCCCTCAGAATCTGTACTTTTGCTTGACAAAACACCTGCAAGTGTTTCAACAGACAAATCATCTGTAAATATTTCAGATTTTTCATCCAACCTTTTATCAACACCATTTCTCTCTGAAACTAGTAGCTGGTCATCTTTATCATCTGCTGTATCGACCTTTTATTCAAGAATGCCAAGTGATTTATCAACACTATTACCTCAGGTCTTCCCTACACTGCTGGGGACATCAGTAGTTTTTGATGATTCCTCTAGTTGGGATTCAACTGAGTTTGCTGCCATTGACAGCACAAGCATAGACGTTTCTCCCTGGCAGACTTCATACCTTTATTCAAATACATTTTCTGTTCCAAACACACACAATCCTGAAGTGATATCATCAAGTTTTTACTCTTACTCTTCCATGTTACTAGAAGGAACATCAGTCTTGCTAATGGGTTCTGAAGTTTCGTTTACCTCAATTTTCGCAGAAGCTACCTCTCAGTTAGAGTCTTCACTCTTCTCCCTTGAATCAGCAGTTCCTACACTGGTGCTGTCCATTTCTGACTCAGAATCTATTCTCACCAGCAATATCTTGGTTGATGAAACACACTTGACCTCATGGTTTACCACATTTCAGACAACTCCTGTCTTAAGTGTATCTTCGTCCCTTCTCTCAACTTTAACAGCTTCAGATGAGGATACTGGTGCTACTGCTAACCACACGTTACTTTTAACATCTCTTTCCAAGGCAACTGCTAGTACAGCACATGTTATAACAAATCCATATACACTGTTGTTGCACACAGATGTGAACAGCATTACAGCTTCACCTACAGAGTCCATTTCTGTGGTCGCATCATTTGTACCTACACAGCTGCCTCCCTCCATAAACACTTCCACTGAATTTGGCACACAAACAAAAACTAGTGTAACTGAACTTACCAAGAGAACAAGTGCTACTAGTTCCACTACTACCACCATTAGTAGTATAGTTGACCATCGTACAACTACTGAGAGCAACTCAAGTACTTCCTCATCCCCTTCTACTGCTGTAGTGGCCACGACTCCATCTGAAGCTATAATTATGACCTCTGCCATGACCACAACCCGACAACCATATGTTTGTGACATCACGGTTCCCGATACTTACTTAGTCATGGCTGGTAAGATATTGCTAACTTTATTTCAATTTTTTTCTTTAAAATTGTTTCAAAAATATTCCCCGTTCTTCTCGTCCCGCCCACCCCCTCCCCAAATCACTAATGAACGTCACCTTCTAATGCAAATCTTATCATTTACATTACACATGTATGGGTGCTCAATAAACATTTGAAAGAAACACAGCACGGAATGTAGATTACTTGTAGTTGTTATGAAGGGCCAGATTTTCAAAACTCAGCCTATATTTCCATGCATATAGCCTGGTTTCTATCCCTTGCTCACACAAATTATAAAATTTAGCTGCAGAAAACCTATTCCTTGTGGACAAGTGGAGTGCAAATGGTGCTTTAAAATTGACCATGCATACATGTAGGCTTAATTGCAGCTCCTTTATAATTTTGGTGTTAAATTTATAGTATTCTTATAGCACTGTTATGCAGAATCTTTTAATAGCATGGTGGAATAAGTTTCCCTTTGAAGGTATTGTGAGTGTTTATAAATGCCATAATTTAAAATAAACTTTAGAACATGTGAAACTAAAGTCAGTTTTTCTAAATATCTTTAACATTTTATTTTACCATGTGAAAATGAGCTATGTTCCTGTATTTGGATTATTTTAGTTGGACGTGGTGTGGTTATGATCAGAAAAGTGACTTTGTACGCTTAAAAAGAAAGTTGCCTTGTTCCTGCCGAGCTAATATACTACAGTTGTGAAGGAGCCATATTTAATGTCAATCAACAAAAATTTTCCATTTAAGTTTTATGGTCAGAATGTGTGCGTTTGATGTATAAAACAGAAAGAACAGAGTTTAATTTTTTCCAGCTACGAGGGTGAGTTGGCTGTTCTAGTGTTAAGAAAGAGCCTTTTTTGGGATGTGGAGGGGACTTGTAAACAGAGCAGTTTTACTATGCAAATATTTGATGGAGAATAAGTACAAAACACCGAGATGCCATTTTACAGTTGCTTTCAATAATCACTGTTATAATTTAAAGTGTGGTTATGGTTAGCAATGCACCTGTGAGTGTTTTTAAGGTAGTTTCTTATTCAACAGTCTTGCCTCCATGTGTAATCAGGGCAGTGTTTGCTTACTTTTTTTTTTAATAAAAATAACTGTTTTTTTTTAAATGCCTATTAGTAGTGTATAGCCAACACAGTTATTGGACAGTGATTTGCAATCTGTTCTGGCTTATGCCTCATCTACAGAATTGTTAACTGTATTACAACAGCAGAATCTTTATTACAAGTGCTCAAGTAAAAAAGAACGCAGTTTGACTTTCAGAGCCAGTTTGAATTTCTAGTCCGTGTCTTACAAAGGTAATTGTTTTTACTAGCAAATTAACTAATTTGATACGGAAAAAGTTGAGAGAAAATAACCACAGAATCCATGAAGCTATTTACAGAGTTACCTTTTCAGGGTATAATTATACTTCTATCTGCACCTTATCCCTGTGTCTTACGCCTTCAACACACTTGACCTCATTATCTGCTTTGTCATGCGTCACACAATTGAAAACGCAACAAAGAACCAAAGCACCATAGATGAAGCTAAAATATACTTACTGACTCTCGTTAATTTCCAGTGCTGGCCCGCAAAGCTGTGCTAGAAAATGTCAGTAATTCCATCAAAGAAGTGCTGAGAGTTCAGTTCAGGCGATCAGTAGAACTGGAGGTAAGTGGTACCAAATGTGTGCTTTCTTTGCTTAGTGTAATGCTATAGCGTGGGATGTTTGTTTTCGTTTTTAATTTTCCTATATAAAATAATGATTAAAAACACAAAAACCTGGTGATTCTAAAGCACAACGGAATTTTGTTTGCGGTTGAACAGGAATACTGTATACATAAAACATCTTTTCTCGCATTTTTAGTGCAAGTGTAACATGAATTGTTACTTATATTTTTATAATGTGACAGATTTAGGGTAGCATGCCTTCCTCTCTGGCTTGGTTTAGCAGTGCTCCCCCACAGCTCACCCTCTTTATTGGCTGCTGTGTTGAGAGCTCCCCCACTTTAACCCCTGCATAGATTAATATCGAAAGGTGAATTGAAAAGCTTATACCGTCTAAAATATCAGTTCAGGGCTCTGTCTTTCTCCAATGCCAGCTGATGACATCCCAAGCATTTAAAACAAAGCAGGGAGCCTTTTCCATAGCTTGTGCTCATTTAGGTTTTAGTGATATCAGTGCTTGCGGGGGAAATATGGAATCCTGAACTCAAGACTTGGTAGATTGAAGAACCGAGTAAATAATTGAGAGCTCCCCCACTTTATAATTTAAAGTGTGGTTATGGTTAGCAATGCACCTGTGAGTGTTTTTAAGGTAGTTTCTTATTCAACAGTCTTGCCTCCATGTGTAATCAGGGCAGTGTTTGCTTACTTTTTTTTTAAATAAAAATAACTGTTTTTTTTTAAATGCCTATTAGTAGTGTATAGCCAACACAGTTATTGGACAGAGATTTGCATTCTGTTCTGGCTTATGCCTCATCTACAGAATTGTTAACTGTATTACAACAGCAGAATCTTTATTACAAGTGCTCAAGTAAAAAAGAACGCAGTTTGACTTTCAGAGCTTTAACCCCTGCATAGATTAATATCGAAAGGTGAATTGAAAAGCTTATACCGTCTAAAATATCAGTTCAGGGCTCTGTCTTTCTCCAGTGCCAGCTGATGACATCCCAAGCATTTAAAACAAAGCAGGGAGCCTTTTCCATAGCTTGTGCTCATTTAGGTTTTAGTGATATCAGTGCTTGCGGGGGAAATATGGAATCCTGAACTCAAGACTTGGTAGATTGAAGAACTGAGGAAATAATTTTCAGTTGTTAAATGTCATTTTTAAGTCTACAGATAGGTACGTCTGGGATATTCAGTAGTGTTTTCCCTTCCTTCCTCTGTGATGTTGAACTTTTGTGTTTTTGTTTTTTGTTTGTTTTAAAGGCTTAGACCACCCTCCAGGTTGGGGTGCAAATCAAGTCTGGGAATCATAGAACCTCGAAAAGTCATCTCGTCCAGTAGTCCCCTGCACTCATGGCAGGACTAAGTGATATTTAGACCATCCCTGACAGGTGTTTGGAGATTTTTAAGAGCAGGTTAAACAATGATGGAGATTCCATAACCTCCCTTGGCAATTTATTCCAGTGCTTAACTACCCTCATAGTTAGGAAGTTTTTCCTAAAGTCCATCCCTTGCTGTAATTTAAGCTCATTGCTTCTTGTCCTATCCTCAGAGGTTAAGAAGAACAATTCTTCTCTCTCTTTCTTGTAACAATCTTTTATGTACTTGAAAACTGTTATCATGTCCCCTCTCAGTCTTCTCTTTTCCAGACTAAACAAACCCAATTTTTTCAGTCTTGCCTCATAGTTCATATTTTCTAGACGTTTAATCATTTTTGTTGCTCTTGTCTGGACTTTCTCCAATTTTTCACATTTTTCCTGAAATGTGTGTTGCCCAGAACTGGACACAATGCTCCAGCTGAGGTCTAGTCAGCATGGAGTAGAACAGAAGAATTACTTCTTGTCATCTTTATATAATGTTTCAACATGGTTCCCAAGTCTTAAAAAAATCAGTGTAAGTTGGAACTTACATTAAAGGCACATTCAGTTAAAAGTACCCCTTTTAAAAAAAATTTTTTTGACAGACCCTAGAAGTAGTTTTTTGGGTGGCAAACAAAATGCTGACTTTAATCTCTGAATAATCAGATACTCTAAAATTTGAAATAATTACCGTTGTTATGTAATGGTGGAAGAATCTGGCCCTTAAAGACTAAGCAAAGTTTAATTTACAGTTTATTACATGTAGCTGTGTGGAATGATCTGAATTAAAATTAGGTAGCATGAATCAACTTCATATTACAAAAGGATGAAATGTACTGTGCATAAGGTTTTCAGAATTTTAGTATATACTGTGTAACTTTCTTCTTCAAAAAGAGATCCTTTACATTCTTTGGAAGTTCATTCTTTTAGTTTGAAGATGTTGCACATAAAATGCAAGGCCTTTTGCAAAAAACAAGCTATATTATGGGAAGTGCCACTGTCAAAAATTATTGATGCATTATTGCAAATAAGGCAGTTCAATAAATGTCACGGAGTAATCCAGCTGGTCAATAACAGTCTAAAGTCTGTGCTGTGTCTGAATGGGCTGGGAATTGCTTAGCAGTGTCATGCAACTTAGTGCTATTTAGGATGGGTGAAAACAAGAAAATTACCCCTAAACTTTGCACCAAATTTAAGTTGAATGTGCTTTAAGGCTTCAAAAAGTTTAGTTAACTTTTTCTCCCTGTCCAGTGATTTTTCACTTACGCTTCCTGTTAACCCTCTGGGTTCTAAATAGAACAGTGCTGATACTGTGTTCTCATGAGATTTCCATCTCAATTTTAAGAACGCAAGAGGCTTGGATAAGATGAAAGCTAATTCACCCCAAGTAAAATAAAATATGGATAAATAAACAATAGTTTGTAAATGTCATGCTATTTTTTACATAGGTTTTCAGGTGAGGGTTAATTTCCGTAATTTGATTGTCAACAGTAGCATAGGGTTTAATAGTATCTTTGTTCTGGGATGTTGTATTTTGAGACTAAGGGTAACTAACATAGTAATGCCAATAGTAATTCTTTGGGGCCAGCTCAGTTTAGCATTTTGGGTGTATTTCTGTCTACCTTAAGAATTACAGGCTTAGCTTTCTTTCATTCTTAACTATTATTGTTGACTCTAGTGAATATTTTGAAGAATATTCAAAACATCTTCTGTTTATACTCAGTGTTGTCCATTCAACAAACCAAGTTTTATAAACAAAGAGCTTTTCTCCAGCTTTCTGTTAATTTGACCATAATAGCTCAGCACAGATGCAACATCTCATTCTGTGCAAGATTCCTTTTTTAATTTTCCCAGCTTTCCTGGGTGGCTGATGGCTTGTCTTAACTGCCTAAGTAACTTGAGTTATAACTCGTATATTGCCCCTAACTCGATTCCTGTCCACATACACAAATCCTTAACTTGAATGTAGTGGTGCTTGTAACTTGAGGTGTCTGCCCTGTTCGGGAGGAGGAGGGGTAAGCTAAAGCTCAAGTTAACACAACTCTGTGTCTCACTTGAGCTAGGCTAATCTGAGTGTAGATATCAATTTAACTGCAATGAAGACATAGTTTGAGGCACAAGAAGATCCAGCAGTTTGCCCCAGGGTCACAAAGGGAGTTAGTTATCATTTGAATCTGGGATAATATTAACTCCCCAAGCCTTCATGCTTTCTTATAAACATTGTTTAAAGAGTTACTAGCCCTACAACTGTATAGATTTATACAATCTAGCGAAGCCTCCCTTGATTGAACAAAGTTCAGATGTGTTGACCGTCAAGGCGTATTGCAAGTGCGACCCATCTGAAAGATTTGTCTTTCCTGCAAAGTCATCTTGAGTTATAACTTAAGTGTTGTTCCTGTCTACTCTCACAAATCTCGAGCTCGAGCACAGTGGTGTTTTAAACTCAAGCTAGATGGCCTGTTGGGGTATTGGTTGAAGAATGAGTGCTGCTGATGCTCAAGCTAATGCATGCAGCTTGGTTGCAGCTAAAGGCTGCATGAGTACTGAAAGGTCTCTAATGCTGTCCCAGAATTCACCTTGGGACTTTTGTTGTGTTTACCTACCTGGTCCTTAGTTCAGGACTGAAAGTTATCTCCAGTCAGTATAAATAGCCTGCCTTGGTTTTCAGACACTGCCTTAGCACGCAGCTTTCTGCACCTGTTGCACTTTTCAGATCAGATGGCATCTGGTAGAGCATCCTCCCAGCATGCATCTAGCTGGCCTGAGTCTGACACCAATGTTCTTGTGGACCTGTGGTGTGAGGCCAGTCAGAATGGCTTCAGGTCCAGGACCAGAAATCAAAAGTCTTATAATGCTACCTCCAGTAAGCTCATTGAGGACGGGATTCACTGGACTAGAGAAGATAAAATTCATGAAGAACTTGTACTGCCAGGCAAAGAACCACAAGTCCTAGTCTGATGACTCCCCTAGAATGTCCCCATCCTCTGAGGAGCTGCACTGGGTGCTCAGTAGTGTCCCAAACATGGAGCCTGCGTACACCCCGGACACCTCAAGGGCCTGTGCGTGGACTCAGGGGAGGAACTGAAGCCAGGGTCAGCACTAGCCACAGCAGTCTCAGCAGAGGCAGAGCAGATGTTTGCCACGTCCACGCACAGCCAGTCTGACCTCATTCAGTACTCCCAGGACCTGTTTGGGGAAGAGATGGAGAAACAGACTGGGGGGAATGCAGCAGAGGAACCAGCATCACCTCAGTTGGGTAAGGGAGTGAGTGACTTGCCCTTGTTTTGGCTAGGGGGGATATGACAACATAAGGGGGCTGTTGTTGCCTGTTTAGTACCAATCTCTATTACTGTAGTGGGGGGTGTTGGGTGCTGGAGGGCAGGCTTTTATACTATACTGGTTTCAGGTACACTTGAGGGATAAGAGGAGAAATGCCATCCAACTGGGCACATATAGTCCAAGATGAATTCTGCATGGGGGAACAAAATTTTAAACATGCAAGCAGTGATTTTTTTTTTTTTGTGGTGCACACCCCTCCAGGTGTGCAAAGCCGTGGCTATTAATACAAGCCGAGCAATGGTAGCAAACGCAGCAATGAGGGTGAGACAAGCATGGCTGCAGAATGCGTGTACAGCAACGTGTGTT